AAGTATATATTTTGTAAGATTTATTATGATAATTTTAGATTTTTATATGAAATATTTGAATAAAAAAGTAAGTATATTATTGACAATTATTTTAATAAAATTTACAAATACTAGATTTAATATTTGTATATAATAAGATAAAAAAAAATCAACTGATTTATATAATAGAAAAAAAAGAAATTAATTATATATTATTTTTTATTAAAAGAGTTTACTAATTCTAAATAAGAAAATTGGATATAATTTTTTTTTATATAAAAATAATTTATTAATATATTTTTGTATTTAGCATCTTTTTATTTTATTTTATTTTTATTTAATTATGCTTATTATAAAATGCAATGTATTTTTAATTTTAAATTTTTTTTAATATAAGTAATATTAAAAATATAAAGAAGAATTTAGTTAAGTAAAACTTTGTATAATGATAAAATATAAAATCTAAACTTGATGTTAATAAAATTTTGATAGATTTATTATTAATTTTATTTTATTTGTATTAATTTAAATAAAATATATATAGAGGTGTAATAATCTAGTAAAGTGATCAGATTGTTAATCTTCCAAGTGGTAGGTTGGGTATTCAAATTTTATTAATAGTGAAAATTTAAATAATTATTTATATAATATTTGTATTACAATAACTGTTACTAATAATTAGATTAGGATACCTATAATAATGATCACATTAGCATGACTGACAGGTTATAAGTATCTGTGCAATAAAGAAAAGAATATTAAGCTGATCTAATATACTAATAGACTAATTATAGTTCTACATAAACTATCTGGATTGAAAATCTAATGAAATTCAGAAATATACTAAAGTATCAATATTATACTATAAAGTAGATGTTAGAGTTTGAGTGAATTCTACAAGGGCATAGCAGTTTAATAATTAAATCTTAATTGCAAATATTAGTTTTGTTATAGCAATATCTAGATCAACTGTAAAAATAGATACAGAAGATTTTATTTTAAAAATAAAATAATCTTATGATTAAGACAATGATCTGAGCATTTGGGTATAACCCAATGAGTTAATACAGGTTATAGGTTCAGAAGGTTTAAAGTGAAACATTCAAATAGGAGTATTAGATATGACAGTTGGTGAGAAACCTTTAGGTAAACTCCTTAAATAGATAATATAAAAAAGTTACATGTATAACCAATTGTACACTCTTTTGTAGTAATTTATAGAATTATATTACCAAAAATTGTTAATAAAAATCAAAAAACCAAAAAGGTCACTTTAACACCAAAAAAAATAAATAAATAAAGTACATATAATTAATATAAGAGAAGTTTTTAAATATGCTTTTTAATTAGATTTTTAATTGTATTTAAATTAATTTACTTTATGTAAATAAAAATGGTTTTACAAATCACACCAGCAATGTTAACATATCTTAAAAACTAACAAATTAACTAATGTACTAGTTAATTCAAACTGTTTGGGATGATCATCAAACTAGTAAAATCAAACATTAATTAGAGTCGTATACATATAATAAATATTTTTTATAAAAATCTAAATTTACTACGGATAATATCAACTTTCGGTACGCTTTTCTCTTGAACTAGTATAATAATTAATGGTCTAATTTTTTTTAAAAAGATAGAGTAAATTGTATACTTTAATGTAATAGAGCCATTTTTTTGATTTATACTATTTTATAAGTAGTAAATCCTTTAACAATGTAAAATAAACATTATCTAAATTTACAAACATAAAGCTAATGAAAAATTGTAAAACTGAGCCTATTGCTGAAAAGAGCATCATTAAAGCTGTCGATTAAAAAAACAAAAAAGACATACTCTTTGCTCAAAATGTGTGCCTTTAGTAGTTATTTTAAAAAATTTACGATATATTGCACTAATAAAAAAAACAATGTATAGATAATTTTCCGAAATTATTAAAATAACCGATAAATAATCCTCAATAATAAATATACTTATGATTTGATTTACTGATTTTATTAATCGCCATGCTAGATAAATTCAAAGATCATTTTTGTTTATGATTTTAGTTGCAACTGTTCAATCAAAAGTGTTGCGAAAATATGAGTTTACGAATAATGATATAGAAGAAAGGAGAATTCAGCTCTTTGGGCACAGTTAAAGTAACGACATATTGTTTGCTTTGCTTAAAAAGTAATACTAGTGAAATATTCATGTCGTATTCATTATTTTAAAGTTTTTATTTTTTTATATAAATAATTTTTTAGTTAATATCAAAAGGCAACTTTTGAAAATTTTTTTAATCTTACTTTGGGAAAGTTTTTTTTTTTTAATGATTAATGATTTTTAAAATATTTTAAAATTTTTGTTGTGGGTAAAACTGAAACTACTAGTTAATTTAGCTTCGGCCATGATATTTGATTCTCAAATACGATAACTTATTTTCATAAAACCATACAAATTGATTTAAACCATCCTTAAATTTATATGCGAATGCATGTCAAGAAATTGGTGGTACTTTCATCAAATAAGAAGGAAATGTTTGCTGTATTGTTCATATTATTAATCTTGCAATACAAAGCTTTTATAACATTTGCATTCAGAAGCAATTATCTCAACGCCGTCAAAAATTAAAGGAGTTATGTCTATGTAATATCATATCATGTTCCAATTCTTGATTTGGAACTTTTACATACTATATAAACAGCAAGATAATTCGACACTTTAAATGATTGAGCAGGTTATTATTATAGATTTTCTATTAATAAATTGCATACTTAGCTAAATTTTGAAATTTTAAAATTGAAAATAAAATACTAAAAAAATACATATTTTGGCAAAAACTTTGTATTTAATAGTATATTATTAATGCTATTAAATGGCTTATTTTTTAGCAAATCAAATTTTGGTATTTTTTTGTAAAGTGCGAACTGATGTATCCAGAAATTTGCAATGTCTTGAGATGTACCCGCCACATGTTTCTTGTTCAGTCTGAAATATAATATGGATATACTCCTGAGTAGGTAAACAACCATTTTATTTATGTATAATATTTAAGTTTTATAAATTGCTATAAATTATTTATAAAGATTACATTTATAATAAATTCATAAGAAATAAATCCTTGTACCTTTGTTTTAAATGAGTATTTTGTCCTATATTTGTGATCTATTAAAAGAAAAACATCAAAAAATAAGAATTATTGCAAATGCCTTATTTTTAAGATTTATTGCAGCCAGTGGTAGTATTAAATTTTATAATATAAGAATTGTAATTGCCCAAGCAAGGCATAAAGGAAACTGTATCTAAATAATATCAATAACCGTACTCATTGCACCCTAGTTCTTTAGTCGTCATTTTCTTCTAAATTTATTCCTTATAGCAATTCCTTATAGCAATTTATTAGGGCATATTTAATATTAATATATTTGCTTACAATATTATGTTACATTATTATATGATATATATTTGATACGTACAAGGTTAATTTTTATTTTTTACGTCGAGTTAATTTCAGATGATCCGACGGATAACTAGTACTTATCCGATAGCTTACTATTATCAGATAACCAATAACTTACTTATCTGGCTTTATATATACGTATAAATTTAACGTACCATTTCTGGGCCAGATAATGGTCTGATTGATTTTTCAATAGATTAGCACCAGTCCTATTAAATGCCATCATTTATTATATACTAATATATGTATTATTTTCTTCTTCCTCTTAAATTGTTAAATTTCCGGCTTAGTTCTCATTAGGAATGTTAGTTTAGTCTAGTCAGTTTCTAAGTCAGTAAGTCTTTCTTAAGTTTATTCTCGTACGTAGCCTAACCACATGAAATTGATATAGCGGTTCCTAATTTATGCAAAAAATATGTACGTATGACAAGCAATTCAGTCTTATTTCCAGTTATTACATCTTCATTAGAGATACACAATTCATGTAATTAATTCTATGTATAATATATTATAATATGTAGAGATGATAACTTTTTTATTAGCGTTATAAATTTTCAAATAAGTTACGGCAATTGATATCCATATACGTATACGTATACTGCTATATCATTATCGTTGTCTATCATCTACAATTTATTTGTTCATGACGAAGCAGTTTTCATATGTCACAAATAGTTAAGTGACAATATGTCACAGATTAAGATGAAGTTACACCATTTCTACATACGTACTATTATTTCTATAATGCTACACAAAGCTAATTCATTATCATGACATATGAATTTTAAAAGTGGACTCTTAATCTTTAATCATAATCTTGTATAGGCCAGAACTAGAATTCCCTTTTTTTATTGCATTAAAAAAACTTGTTTCAATTCCAGTTTTTCTTGTTTATACTTGACTTTAAAATTCATTAATCTAATTATCCAAACTCTCACAGACGTATAAAAAAAACCTGTCACTTATCGCTATCATAAAGTTGTTAGGTTTGCCGTAATATAGATTGTTTAAAAATAATTAGTGAAATTGGTATTAGTGAAATTGGTATTAGTGAAATTGGTATTAGTGAAATTGGTATTAATGAAATCAATTCACCAGCATCTCCAAAAAGTCTTCAATAATTAATACGTATCGATATATACGTATCAGATATGTACTTAACAATTAAGTACGTACGCATGTTATGTATGCAACATCTATTTACGTAATTTTATTCTAAAATTAAATGTCTATTAATACATAATTATTATCTTTATAATTAATTTAAAAACTTAATAGAATAATAATAATCATAAAAAAAGTCGCGTTTTTTACTTCATAAATTTATTTTCTTTGAAAATTAATAAACCATTTAAACCTTTTTTTTTAAAAAAACATGTATCTTTAATTAAAACAAACAAAAAAAAACCGTCTTGGAAGTTTGTACAACAAGAATATCCGAATCATAATTATCTTATCAATCTATAATAAACAAAAAACACTTTGAAAAAGTATTATAACGCCATCCACGACCATTAATATAAAAAGTATATCAAGATAGTTTTAAAAAAAAGTATATACCACGAAAGCCATAAAGATGAATGCAAATATCGAACTACATAGAATTCCATTTAATGAAAATTTTTCTGACAGTTTTAAACGGAATTTAGAAAGGTATTTTCGAAAACCGTAATAAAAAAGCATACGCGAAGTTTTCATTTTCTTATACATTTATTTCATAAAGGTTTCTCGCTTATGTGGAAAAATTATATACAAATTATTGTGCTTTCACAGTTAAACGTCCATATCTTGGGGTAAATTATCCATATAATTTTCTTTTTTTTTCAATCAAAAATATTTTATATGTATAATATTAAATAAATCATTTGTTTTTTTATTTCTTAATAGCTTTTCTTTGCTATATTTATCGTTTTTTCGGCTTTTCCATTACTTTCTTATATAGTTTTCTCAATTATCTCTACTACTTTAATTCTTGGTAGTTCTTTATGTCTTGGATTATTAACATTGGCTTTTCTCCTTGGTCTAGCTGGTAAATTTTTATAATTCTATTGATTTTTGTTAAAATAATTAACCCTAATACTTTTTGATACTTTATACAAAATAGGACTGACCCTTTCTATCGCATTAATTTGTTCCTTTTTTTTAACATGTGTGGTTTGTTTTTGGATTGCTCTTACATTTACAACAACTCGTTTTATTGATGGATATATTAAGAAAAATAATTTTGGAATTTTCCTGTCTAATTATGTTGCAAATGGTACAAATGGTGTAAATGGTGTTAGTAATGTAAATGGTGTAAATGGTGTTAGTAATGTAAATGGTGTAAATGGTGTGAATGGTGATGTAGGTCCTAGTGAAAGTCAATCTAAATGACTAAATTATGCCTCGACATTATAGGATGAGTATATATATATACGATTATATATATTACGATTATAAAGTGTCATGTAAAATTAAAAATTTTTCATTTCCAATTATTTTATCAATTATAAACAACTTAATAAATATTCTTGTTTAATAACCAATAACCAATTTGCTTTTTTTTTTAACAAATAGTAATCAACTTTATAGGAAAAAGATATATAGGTGCTGATATATTAACATTTTATAATCCAGTATTACAATTTACTATACAAATGTTTTTTCAATTTCTGAATTTAATTATTGTGGATCCGGTACAAAACTATAGTTATTAAAGACCTCTTTACATTTACATGTTAGTTGTCTGTACCTATCAAATAGTGTATCATCATTATCCAAGGGAATGTCATCCACAATGCTAAATGGAATATTCGTCTCATCTTTATCAGTAACGTCGATAACTAAACAGTATTCGCTAACTAATTCTGAAATTAAATTTTCATGCATTTTATCTGCATGCGCTTGTACCTGTACCCATTCTTGTAAAAATTCGTTAAATAAAACATCCGATCCACAAGTTTTATCAAATACTATAAATGTTCTTAGAACAAATGTAGCCTCTTCAATAGCCTGTTCGAATAATTCATCTTTCTTGGCATGTTCCAAAGCCTCATCATTAAGAATCTAATAAATAATTAATTTTCTATTTGTTTAGTAATTCGATATCATAAATATTTTTTAAATATTTTTTAAATATTTTCAAATTACAAACCTTTAAACAAATTTTCACATATGAGATGATAAAACTTGTTCGTCGTAACTTTTCCACATTAATTATAAATATACTAGATGTCATCTCTCCTATCCATGAATTTTCACGTTGTATAGCTTTATAAAAATAACGAATTGCATTAACGAAATCTCGTTTTTTGATCATTTGATCTAAACCTTCAACAATATATTGTGCTATCTCTTTAAAATCATCAAAGGCCTTAACAATTTCAACGTATCGTTGATTATGACGATAATTATCATCTAAAGGAATAGGATCGCTCCAATCTAATCCTGCTATCTGTTAAAATTAAAGTGAATCAAATTATTGACGTACGTACATCAATTATTAACACAAATAATATAAATCAAAAATACACGTCGAAATATATAATTGTTAAACTTACGGATTTTGAGTATTCTGTTATAAGCGATTTGATTTCTTCACCTTTATCGAGTTTAACGAAAAATAATTCTATTCTAAAAATGCAATAGATCAAATTTATTAATAATATCAAATTTATTAATAATATCAATTTTTTTTTTTTATATTATTACTTTTTTCGATATTTACCTTTTCAAAATTCGTGCATCATAAATTTTAAGATTCTTTGCTTGTTCATTTATTGTATTGACGCGATTTTGAATCATCTCAGAATCTGATAATCCTCCACATGCAGTAGAATCTGATTCCCATGTACCACTATCCATAGCATTATTGTCTGGTAACTCTGCCTGCCGGATTTGATTACCTATTTCTTCCTCAAGTATTTGATTGTCCTTTTCTACAAAAGCCTAATAGATAAATATTTAAATTCATTTTTTTGTAAAAAAATAAAAATAATGTATATAAAATTTAACATAAACTTGCTAAAATATAGTTACTAACCTTGAGTGATTCAGGAATAACATCCTCAAGATTTGGAAAATTGTAATCAACTTGTGCATTTACATAAAAAAGTGTGTAAACACTGTGACTCGAATAGTAACTTCCTGGTTCATTAAGCACCGTGTTTTCAATTGCCTGATTATTATATCAAACAATCTGCGTCTTGATTGAATTTGAATAAAAAAAAAAAAACTATGTATATACATATATACATATACATATATATATATACACATACATATATATACATATATATATATATCCTTAATAATAAATTTACCTCTTCTACACAATTATCTTGGAATTTCATCCAGTTACCATTATCCATGGTACTAGAAATACGATTATCTGATTTGCTACACCTTGAAACCCATATATAAGCCCAGTGATTTCCTGATCCTGATTGTCCATTATGAACTAAAACTGCTTTAAGACGATAATGATATTTTTTCATATCAGGTATATCAAATATTTGTTTAATGTTTTGTTCTAGTTCATCCTTTTTTCCAAACAGTGCTAAATCAAATAAAATTATCAATAAAATTATTAATAAAACTATCAATAAAATCATCAATAAAATTATCAATGCTTTTGTAAATTAAAATATAGTTAAATAATATTAGTATATAATATACCATTCAATTTTTGTTCAACTTTATCCAAGACACCCTCCAACCAAGTCTTTGTCTGCTGCGCATCATCATCGGTTGTTCCTTTTTCCTCTGCTTTGTTACACTTTTGCTGAAAATGCTCTATTGAACCTTTAAGTAAATCAGGTCCATTATGTTTTCCCTAATAAAAAAATATATATATAATATCAAAATAACAACTTGTGGTCACGTAAAATTGTAATATCATACCTGAAATTTAATAATTTTATCAATACTTTGGTTTATTTTTTCGAGTTCATTCTTCATTATTTCAATTTTTTGCCAACATCTTTCAACAAATTGACTATTTTCATACATATAACGATCCATATATATTTCTTTAAGAACTTGGAATGTTGAATCCCCTTGAAAAGTAGGGAAACTAACATTGCCATCACTATCCTTATGTTTTAAGTTCATTATCAATATATGTGCTAGTTGTGTAAAGAAAGGTTTACGCAAATTCCCTTTCGATTCTTGCATTACACGATCTAATGCATCATAAATTGTAAGACAACTAGGATATATTTCTAGAGGGTTTGGTAGCAACAAATTAAGGGAAATAAATTAAAAAAAAAAACAATGTATTGCAAACAAAATATAATTAAGGATATCATATTGGTAGCATCGTGATGTCTAACTGGTTGACTATAATTGCTTCCATATGTTTTTGAAACCAAATTTTCTGCGTTTGATCTAAATAACCTAATAAAATAAAAGATGTAAACATCAAATTTTATCAACAATTATTTTACATTTACTTAATTACTAAACTTTTCAAAATCTAAAATATATGGTTGAAGATCGGTCGGAATATCTTGATCTCCAGAAACTCGATCTCGATAATTAGATCCTTCCAATAATTTAGTAATTAATTTATTAGTAAAACCTACAATAATTCATTTAAAGTAAATTTTAAAATGGAATTCAACTCATTAACAAGTATAATGTTAGAGATTTTCAAGATGCACACATACTAGACACGACCTCCGCTTCATTCCAAATTGCTTTTTCATCAAAATCCAAAACATCCATTAATTGACTTGAGTCGCCATATGCTCTTTGACTCAACGATAGAAAACCAAAGAGCTTTTGAACTTCATGAATGACTAATGAAATATACATATAAAAAGCACATAGTTAAAATTAAATTATATAATAGATTGATATTACCATTTACTCACATTTTAAAGATTCCTGTCGATTCACGCTACTATAAAGTTTGGAATTATCATCATTAGTGTAGCTACGATAATGTTTTTGACCTTTCCAATAACCTTCTACATTGCCCCAATCGTCTTTAGTTGGACGAAATGCCAACAAAGACAATCGAAAAATAGGAATGTGAAACAATGCTTGAAAAAAAGAACTGGCATAATAATAATCGATCACCGGTTTCAACCCAAGAGGACTGATTTGTATGTATATTATAAAATATTATTATTTATTATAAAAATTATCAATCAAAAATAACTATAACGCCTACGTTGTGTCAAGCTTTTGTCTTTTCACCGGCTGTTCCCAATCACACCAATTCTGATCTGATCTTTGATATTGTGAGTCATTATCATTCTATTATTATTATTATTATTATTGTTGTTGTTATTATTATATTATTATATTATTATTATTATTATTATTATTATTATTATTATTAATGATTATTATTATTATTATTATTATTATTATTATTATTATTATTATTATTATTATTATTATTATTATTATTATTATTATTGTTATTATTATCATTATTATTATCATTATTATTGTTATTATTATCATTATTATTATTATTGTTATTATTATTATTATTATTGTTATTATTATTATTATTATTGTTATTATTATTATTATTATTAAAAATGGTTAAATACAGATTGTAAGATAAAATTTCCATAACATGTAGGACTACTTAATTCACATTGTATTAATTCACATTGAATTATAAAAATTTTGTGACAGACCTTATTATTGCCATTATACAAAACGACGGCCCGAGAATCACCGTAACTGTCTTTAGGATCTGGGTACGAGGTTGTCTGCTCGCTCATTTCTAATGCCATTTTGAGATCTTCATTTTCTTTATCAGCCATAGAGGCTTCTATCGCTGTTTTCATATCACGATCCTCTTAAAGGTGAACATATAATAAGTCAAAAACAAGTTAATCAAGTACTAATTTAATTGAAAGAATTTAGATAACACAAACCAGTTTCAAAAGAGGTTGAATCGTTTGGTCTATCAAGATAACCTAACACGCTATCCCCTTTACAAAATAAAATAAATAAATAAATCAAAAAAATTTTGTCAAGAAAATGAAATTTGAATAATTAGTATCGATTTATGTAGTCAATATGTAACTTAACTACACTTATTTTTTTTTGCTTCATTTAAGAAACGGTTTTTTTTTTCAATTACCTCCTTGATTCCAGTTATCATTTTGTGAATCTGAACCTAATGGTGCCAATCCAGGAGTCTAAAGCGTGATTGGGGAAAATATCATTGATTGAAAGTGCACAATCTTTTTCTACAGCAAATAGTTTATAAATACTATTTTACTTCTTCAGTGTCAGTAAATATAAAGTTTGCAGCGCGTTCCACATCTCCATTAAATCTCTAATTAAATATTTTTAGTCAATGGATTAAACATTCGTAAAGAAATAGATATGATAAAAAAAAAAAAAAATAAGCTATCGCCAATAGAAAAAGGGGGAATCTTAAAAAAAAATATATATATATTTTTATAAATATATAAATATTTATAAACCCACATTTAATATTTAATTAATGTAACAACTTTTTTTATCTTCAAAAACCATTCTTGATTATGTTATAAAAAAAAAATTATCCCCTTCTTATTGACAAGCCTAATCATTAACATACCGATAAAGCATCACGGGCTTTTTCCTTGGTTACACCCTAGCGAACAATTCAAAGACTTGAGTAGTAAATACAAAGTTAAAATAAATGTTTAAAGATAAATTACCAGTTGAGTTAGAACTTTAATTGAATCATCCATAAGACTAAGTTAAAAAGAAATAGATTTGATAAATCAAAAAAAAATCCAGTCTCTCGTGGATATATAAGTGATCTTTTATTACAAGAGTAATACAAAACTCTTAAGAAGGAAACAACCAATCAGAGAACGCAAAATTTAATCAACAGGCATAAAATCCGGATAATAATCTAATACACACAAATCACCTAACGTTATTTGATTGAATGTGTCTGATTAGAAGAGGTGTAGAGTTAAAATTGAGTTGCGCTAGAATGTTACCATTTGTATAATGAATGTAATAATAATTAAAATCATAAAAACGGTTGTGTATTCAGTGCCGAATTGAATAACTATGTATTTTGCACAAAATGTCAAAAGATCAACGCTAAAGCAGAATTCAAATATTGCAAAATTAAATTATTAGTTATATTAGAGCATAGAAAATTTTGCTCCATTGTGCTCGAATATGGTTTGGTATGAAATCTATTTTTATACATTGATATACTCATTATGGCTTTTTTACACGGGAAATAAGGGTTTTATCATTTAATGCATGAAAGTAAAAAAATAGGTGATTCATAGGATCATATATGCGGTCACTAGGGCAAATTTTGAAGGCCTCCTGTGGATGTATATATCATTTACCGGGTGTTTCAAAAGTTCCACTACACGATTTCTTTTTTTTTAAGTGACTTTATATATAGAGGTCACGATGATTATCATCGATCTATATATGTAAAATCACTTTAAAAAAAAGAAACGTGTAGTGAACTTTTGAAACATCCGGTATAAAGTTACTTTAAAAAGGGATCGTATAGTGGAACTTTTGATTAGCAATAGTAGGCTTTAATTCTATGTTTTGTTCCAACCTTACATATGATTTTTGAGATTTGATTGGTACAATCAAATCAAAAAAAAATTTTTTTTTTCTTCACTTGAGCAGTCTTGTTGGTTATCTTATTAAGATTCTTGCATTCATATATATATACAAATTTTGCTTAACTTTTGGCTCAATATTTCACGAATACTTCTATAGGCTCTATGAGTAATTTGCCTGCACTAATTGTCTAACTTTTTAAGAAATTAGAGTAAACCAAGAGTTTCATCTGATTTTACTATCAAGAACCTTGAATATTAATAGTAAAAATAGTTAATAAAATTTGTAAATTTTACAAAATAACAAATAATAATTTAGGAGTGTGGCAACCTAGTGAAATGGTCAGGTTGTCAATCCCCAAAGTAGTAGGTTGGATGTTCAAATCCTATTGATGATGAAAAATTTGAATAATCACTTATGTAATATTCATATTACAGCAACTGTTACTAATAATTGGGTTAGGATACCTGTAATAGTAGTTGTATCAGCATGACTGACAGGTCATGGGGCATCTGTATAAGTATGGTATTACATAGAGGAATGTAAACTGACAAATCAGGTAATGCAGACATTAGATAAGTCCTTGTGATTATGTAAATCTGTTAAAATTGAATAACAAGAAGTCTATTTAGAAAGACTTGAATAAAGAGGTAGTTGAATTTTTGATAGTTTTACTATAAAGGCTAGTCTAAAAAAACAGATACCAAGGTCGTAATATCTGCTTATAGTATCTAGTCATAGTACCTGGTCATAGTAATTAGACAGACAAGAACTTCCAGGTTGGAAGTCTCAAAGATATCATCAACCAGGTTACCAAAATGAACTAAAAGAAAAGAATATTAGATCAACCTAATATATTGATAAACTGGTTATAGTTTTATATAGATTATCTGGATTGAAAGTTTAATAAAAAAACAAATGAAAAGGCAAGAGTATACTAAAGTATCAGAATTATGTTATGAAGTAGATACTAAAGTCTAAGTGAACTCTACAAGAACATAATGATTTAATAATTAAGTCCTGATCACAAGTATTGGTTCTGCTATAGTAATATCTAGATCAGTTATAAAAATGAATACAGAAGGTTCTGAGGATTTACCTTGAGCATAAATTAGTTCTAAAATTAAGATAATGATCTGGGCAATTAGATATGATCCAGTAACTTAATACAGATTATAGGTTCAGAGGATTTAAAATGAAACATCTAAGCAGAAGTGTTAGATACAGTAATTGGTAGAGAACCTTTGAGCAGACTTCTTAAATAGGTAATATAGAAAAGTTACATATGTAGCCAATTGTATGCTCTTTTGTAGTAGTTTATTGAACCATAATACCAATAAGTGATTAATAAAAGTTAAAAAATCAAAAAAGTCATCTTAATATTAAAAAAAAAATAATAATAATATTGGTCATCTTATTAAGCATGATACACCAATTTGATACATTTAAATTAAAATATAATTATACAAAATTTTATATATATATATTTTTTTTTTGTGTTATAAGCAGCAATCTTGTCTGTCTGTCTTTTATTGAGTAATATCTAGTTATTAATGAATATATAGTTTATCAACGAAAGTATAACTAGCCACATG